CAGATGACCCATCAATTGACTCTTTTTGCTTTAAATGGGTCACATTTTCCTATCTCTTCACATGTCCAGAATTTTTAAAACCTTGCTGGATGTTATGAATTATACATTTTAAAAGGTCTGGAGTATGTTGTCTTCCTTTAAGAGGCATTGAATTTTGTTCTTAATGGGCATTAAATGGCTGGTGCACCCTCCTGTCTGTTGGCCTTGGCTTTAATCTTTATAAGAGGAGGGTTCTATCTGGGGGAGTAATTCCAGACAGGCCAGCGACCTAGAACTCTCGATTTCTTTTCCTCCTTAGATCAGGGAGACCAGGGCTCTGCTTGGGTCCCACTTGGGTGCTATCTGGCAGGAAAGTGGCCGTGAAGGAATTAATGGCAAAGGAATTAAGGTCTCACTTCATGTTTCCCTCTTCTGGAACAATGTGGTTGCCTATTACTAAATGCCTGAATACACTTTTTTGAACATTTTGTCTGGTTTTAAAGTTGTTTTCAGCAGGAGGGTAAGTTTTGGTACCAAAATTTTGTCATGGCTGGAAGCAGAAGTCCTCATGGCTTCCCCCCTGCCTTCAATTATCTACCTAGCTCTGGGAATGTCCATTGCTTATTCATTGTTCTTTTTTCATTGAATTTATAGTTTAAAATAGTTTTAGATTCACAACAAAATCAAACAAGAGGTACAGAGATTCTTCAGATACACCTGACCTCATTCATGCACGGCCTCCCACATTATCATAGTATCAACATCTCCCACCAGGTGGTACATTTGTTTCCGTTGATGAACCCACATTGACACATTGTTACTGCCCAGAGTCCATAGTTTATATTAGGCTCCACTCTTGGTGTTGTATATTCTTTGGGTTTCGACAAATGCATAAGGACATGTATCCACCAATACAGTATCACACAGATTATTTTCACTGCCTCAAGAATCCTCTTTACCCTGCCTGTTCATCTCTCCCCCTTCCTAAATCCTGGCAACCATGGATCATTTTACTAACTCCATATGTTTATCTTTTCCAGAGTGTCATTGGAATTATACAGTGGGCAGCATTTTTTTATGTTGCTTCTTTCACTCAGTTATACGCATTTTAGTTTCCCCCATGTCTTTTCATGGCTTGAAAGCTCACTTCTTTTTAGCATTGAATAATATTTTATTGTCTGGATGGATCACAGTTTATTTATACATTCACCTACCAAAGGACAGCTAAGGACAGCTTCCAAGTGTTGGCAATTATGAATAAAGCTGCTAAAAACATCTGTGTGCAGGTTTTTGTGTAGACATAACTTTTCAACTTCTCTGGGGAAATACCAAAACGTGTCATTGCTAGATTGTACGGTAAGAGTGTGTTTAGTTTTGTAAAAAGTTGAACAACTCTCTTCCAAAGTGGATGTGCCATTTTACATTCCTGCCAGTAGCGTATGAGGGTTCCTGTTGCCTCACGTCCTCACCAGCCTTTGGTGCTCTGGATTCGGGGCATTCCAAAGCTGGGAAGTGGCATCTCATTGTTGTTTTAATTTGCATTTCCCTGATAACATATGATGTGGGGTATCTTTTCACACGAGCATTTGCCATCCATATATCTTCTTTGGTGAGATAGCTATTAAGGTCTTTGGCGCTTTAAAAAAAAAACAGGTTGTTCATTTTCTCATTGTCAAAATTAAAGAACTTCTTTGTATATTTTAGATAACAGTCTTTTAGCAGATATATATTTTGCAATTTTTTTCTCCCAGTCTCTGACTTCTTTTCACTGCCTCGACAGTGTCCTTTGAGGGTATAATTTTTTTATTTTAACGAAGTCCAGCTTCTCAGTTCTTTCTTCCATGGGTGGTGCCTTTGGTGGTACATCTAAAAGTGATCATGAGGGGCACCTGGGTGGCTCAGTTGGTTGTGTCCGACTTCGGCTCAGGTCATGATCTCGTGGTTCGTGGGTTCGAGCCCCGTGTCAGGCTCTGTGCTAACAGCTAGCTCAGAGCCTGGAGCCTGTTTCAGATTCTGTGTCTCCTTCTCTCTCTGACCCTCTCCTGCTCACACTGTCTCTCTCTCTCTCAGAAATAACTAAAACATTTAAAAAAAAAAAAGTCATCACGAAACCCAACATCATCTAGACTTTCTTCTCTATTATCTTCTAAGAGTTTTATAGTTTCCTGCTTTACATTTAGGTCTGTGATTCATTTTGAGTTAATTTTTGTGAAAGAGATAAGGTCAGCATCTAGATCCATTTCTTTTTTTTTCTTTTTTTTTATTTTTATATATATATATATATTTATTTCTAGGAGAGAGAGAGAGAGAGTGTGAGCAGGGGAGGGTCAGAGAGAGAGGGAGTCACAGACTGAAACAGGCTCCAGGTTCTGAGCTGGCAGTCAGCACAGAGCCCGACGCGGGGCCCGAACCCACGAACCGTGAGATCATGACCTAAGCGAAAGTCGGACGCTTAACCGACTAAGCCACCCAGGCGCCCCTTAGATCCATTTCTCTGCACATGGATGTCCTGCTGTTCCGCTAGCGCTGATTGACAAGAGTACTCTTGTTCCATGGTATTGCTTCTGCTCTTCTGCCAAAGACCACGTGACTATATTCACGTGGGTCTATTTCTGGACTCTATTCTGTTACGTTGGTCTGTTTATTTATTCTTTCACCAACGCCACATTGTTTTGATTACTGTAGCTTGACAGTAAATCTTGAAGTCAGGTAGTTTCAGGCCTTCATTTTTGTTCTTCTCCTTCAATATTGTGTTGGCTATTCTGGGTTTGTTTGTTTGTTTGTTTGCCACTCCATATAAACTTTAGAATCATTTAGAATCAGAATTGATGTCCACAAAATAAGTTGCCAGGGGGGTAGGGGGTGTTTTGGGAATGTGTCAAATCTACGCATCATGTTGGGAATAAGAGACATATTGACAATATTGAATTTTCCTAACCATGAACATGAAATACCTCTCCATTTATTGAGTTCTTTGATTATCTTTATCAGAGTTTTCTAGTTTTCCTCATATTGCTCCTGTAGCTGTTTTATTATATTTATCCCGAAGAACTTTATTGTGGGGGTGCTAATATAAATGATATTGTATTATTAAGGTCAGTTTCTATTTGTCCCTTGCTGGTATATAACAAAGCAATTGACTTTTGTATATTAGCTTTGTATCCTGTAACCCTGCTAAAATTGCTTATTAGTACCATAAGGGTTTTTTGTCTGTTCTTTCAGATCATCTATGTAGACAGACAGTCAAGTCATCTACAAAAAAAAAAGAAAGTTTTAATCCTTCCTGATCTATCTACCTTTTATTTCCTTTCTTTTTTAATTGCATTGGCTAGGATTTCCAGTACCGTGTTGAAAAGTGGCGATGAGAGAGAACATCCTTGCCTTGTTCTTTCGTTGGTTTTTCAGATTATTACATGTATCTTGTTTTAGCAATAGACGTACTTTCTGACACTTAAAACATAGGTTGCTATTGATGTATGACAAGTAGCAGCAAATGGTACTGAGGATACAGGCTGCAGAGAGAGATGGGGGTTAAGGCAAACTGCAGCCCAGCCTCTATCTGACAGAGCTAAAAAAGGAAGGAAGAAAAACTGGTATCTATGTTACGTCTGTTATGTGCGGAGTGCTCTGCTAGTTACTGTTTATGTTATTTCATGCAATCTTTAAAACAAAACAGTAAAATGATGGTGGTTATTATACCCAGTTTACAGAAAAGGTGGCCAATAAAAACAATGAAGCTATGTAGCTAGTAAGCTAGTAAAGCTAGGATCTAGAAACCCACTTTTCTGCCCATTCCACCATGCTACCTTTCTTGCCTTATTATCGATTAGGATCACTAGTATCTATTGAGCGCATATGTTATGTGCTCCTTACAGTCACTGGCCCTCCAAGCCATTCAAATTGCTTCCATTTAGTCCCTCCTTGGTCAGAGGTGAGGCACGCTGTTCAGCTCTCCCCACCTTCTGTTATTCAGATCAGGGGCATCCTGAGTCTTGGATGAGGGTGGCCTTCAATGTGGTAAGATGCTGGGCAAAGTGAAAAGACACAGAGAAGCTTCACTCCAACTGAGCGATTAAGTAGTAGCCGGTAGAGTGTCCTCTGCCAGCAACGAGTGCAGCAACCGCCTGGATTTTGTGCCTGGACTGGTGGAAGGAGAGGCTGTGCTTTCTCACCTTCTGTTTCCTGTCATCCTTCCTTTCCACTCTCCTTATCCAGCCTGTGCCTTTTTTTCCCTAAAAACCAAATCTCTTGAAATAGAACTTGTTGCAAGATATGCAATAGGACAATTTTCCTGATTCGAGCAGTGCTTTTCCCCCCTTAATACTTGGGCATTTGGCCCCTATTTCAAGTGTCCTTGGTGGGAAGCCAGTGCCCATTTCTGAGGGGCTGAGACAGGGTCCAGTCTCTGTGGTATGAGAAGGGATCTGGTAACCTCACTGATGGGCAGATGGGTAAAAAATACACATTCCCACTTGCCAGACTTTGGGTCCAGCACTTTATATATATATTTCTTGAAGAAAGGGAAGAAGGAAGGATGGAAGGAAGGAAGGAAGGAAGGAAGGAAGGAAGGAAGGAAGGGCACAAAACCATTAATTATAGAAATTCTGACAATCCTTATTTCCTGAAAATTGTTTCTCACAGATACATGTTGTGCCTCAATAAAAGTTACATGGCTTCCCCTCCTTCCTTTCCTCTTACAATTTATCGTCTCTTTTTCTCTATTTGCCCAGCACAAGGCATATTCAGATTAAAAATCCAATCATTTCTATTCATGTATCTTGAAATATATTGTAATTTGGAGAGGAACTTGGCGAAGGTACATTTTGAGCTGTCTCTGATACAAAAGTTTCTATGGGCCGATGGCAACAGTCTTAGTTTGTTTCTAGGAAACTGGGGGCCACCCATAAATCCTTGACTAAACAAAGTGCAGGGATGTGTGATGAAATCGCTACCTGGCTGAAGGATGTGAGTACGTGACCAGAAATTCCTGAACTCCTAATGTGCTTCTTTTTTCTTTGCAGAATTGTGTGATGACAACCCTCCAGATATCAAACATGCCACTTTCAGAGCCCTCGCATACAAGACGGGCACCATGTTAAACTGTGAATGCAAGAGGGGCTTTCGCCGGATAAGCAACGGGTCAGCCTTTGTGCTGTGCGCAGGGAACTCGAGCCACTCTGCCTGGGAAAACAAGTGCCAGTGCATAAGTACCTGTAAGTGTCCCCTTTTGCGGCACCACGGGAAACAGAAGGACTGTGGCCCAGAGGGGGACAGAGCTCCAGCTTTTGTCTACTCAGCCCTACAGACACAAGTGGGCAGCCCCAACTAGCCAGCAACTCGTTTCAGTGGTTCCTGGAAAACAATTCACTGAAATAAAAAATATTTAAGTAGGGCCTCCCAGTTCCAAGGACTGATATAGGCACTCGGGGGCCCCAGCACTCAAAGAGCTTACATTTTGCGGGGAGAGAGGGAACAGACGTTACACTAATAATCACTGAACAATTCGAAAATAAATGTAGTTGGCCACGCTGTAAATGCACTTAATGCCACTGAGCTGTACATTAAAAATGATGAATATGGTAAGTCTTGTGCTATGTATAACTTACCGCAATTTTTAAAATTTTTTTTAAAGTTCACTTATTTATTTTGAGAGACCAAGCATGCAAGTGGGGGAGGGGCAGAGAGAGAGAGAGAGAGAGAGAGAGAATCCCAGGCAGGCTCCACACGTGAGCGCGGAGTCTGATGTGGGGCTCGAACTCATGGACTGTGAGATCATGACCTGATCTGAAGTCAGGTGCTTAACCGATTGAGCCACCATCGTGTGCCTTGTCACAATTTAAAAAAATAAATAAAAATGATAAAAAAGAAGAGTCAGAATGAGCTTATAGTAAAAAAATAAGAGCAATAATAACAATTCCAGCGGGCTAAATCTACCTGCACGGCTGCATTTACTCGTCCGTGTTTCCCCCTGCAAAGCTCACCCTCGTGCGGCACCCCTGCAGCCACGTGGCCGCGGGAGCCCTAACTAGTCCCTCTCCTCTTCAGTGCCCATCTCCGCAGCCCTAAGGAAGAGGCTCTGGGGAGAAAAGCAGAGGCGGTGGGCGAGGCAGTTCCTCCCCGGATGACAGTAAAAAGGGAAGAGGAGTCCAAGCCTCTGAACTCGAGAGTCTTGTCTATTACCCACATTTTCACTGGCCACCGTGGGGTCTTCCGGGCATGTCTTCTGAGCCCAAATATATGCTCAGGCAGAAGGTATCACCAGTCCGGGCCCTTCCCAGCCCAGCGTCAGGAACTGGTGTTCGGAAGCACAAAGCACGGGGAATAGTCCCCCCAGACACCTCACTGCCCCCAAAAGGCTGCTGCCCCTTGTTCAGTCTCACAAGCCCCAGCCGGGCTGGGAGAACGGGATTAACAATCCCACAGGCCGGTCAGGCTGGTGCGTGGGGAGCCCCCAAATCCGCACTAGGAAAGCGGAGAGGAAGAGGAAGTTGTTCTCTTCAGGTTTCTTTATCTCTGGACTTCAAAACCTGGCCTGAGTGCCCTGTGGCCCTCAACGCCGGCCGTGACTTGACCAAGCTGCGAACTCATCATTGCTGGTGAGGGTGAGCAGAAAAGGCAGGGCCGCTCGCTCAGGGATGGTAGCCGGTCACCTCCCCGGAGTGGAATTTGGAGGGAATGACCCCCAAGGGGCTTTCTAAGCCTAAATTGCTCTAATACCATAGTTTTGCTACTGAACATTTGTTCTCAATTGAATCCTGAAAGCTCTCATGAGGCCAATTTCTCCATGAGATCTTTTATCCACTAAGTGATAACAGAACATGGTAAAAACAGGTGGGTCTGTTTGTCCTTTAAATTCTTTTAAGTTTATTTATTTATTTTGAAAGAGAGTGGAGAGAGAGAGAGAGAGAGAGAGAACCCCAAGCACGCTCCACACCCAGAGTGGAGCACAGCTTGGGGCTTGATCTTACAATGCTGGGATCATGACCTGAACTGATATAAAAAGTCAGACATTTAGCCAACAGAGCCATCCAGGCATCCCCTCATCCATTTATTTCTTACCCCTGGGGATGGTGTCCGTGAGTCACAGCGGGTTGAGTTTCAGCCACACCGCACATGGACTGCACAGTCTGGAGATCACTGCTGTGCTGTTCCCAGCACACCCTCCATGGACCTTCAGCTAGAATCCTGACCCCCGCCCCTCACGGCAGTGCCCACAGTCACCTCCTTTGCCGAAGGCTTCACAATGGAGACAAATGTGGTAGGAGGCTTCTCCCCTCCTTGCGCTAAGATTGCATCCCTTTAAGTTTTAAATGAGCTCCTTTAGGGAGACAAGGGAGTCAGCCCACAAGGTTGGCAGATGGATGGCAGAATAGACTCTCCTCTGGAGAGTCACACAAAACCCAGAAAATCTTCCAGTGCTTTCAGAAACACATTGTAGGGTGCTGGCATCACGCAGGGGATACTGACAGGCCAACGCCGAGAGCACCCCAAGGGCAGGCTGGGGTGTGGCTCCTCTTTGTAACCCCTGCACCCCAATACTGCCTGACATGTTGCAGGCAGTGGAAAGGCACACTTTTTGACTAAATGAATACACAAAGAGTGTTTTCTATTTTAAGCATTTGTGAAATGATTTGCTTCATTCTACCCATTCTCATAGCCCCAAGGACCACAGATAGACAAGTTACTCCTAAACCTGAAGAACAGAAGGGAAAAAACCCCACAGAGTTGCAGAGCCAAATGCAGCCCATGGACCAAGTTAACCTTCCAGGTAAGAAGTGAATCTGAGCGGCTCCTAGCAGCCAACTCTTCTCTTCTCGTGTGTCCCCCAAAGGAGGGAAGTCTGTCCCACCACCGTCTTCTTTGAGGATATCAGGCAAACAAGCACTGTTGTGTAGTGGTCATGTTTGCAGGCTGTAGTGCTGCTCAGCATTCAAGCCAACGTGGGCTCTGGGCTTCCTCCTGGTTTGGGGGCTGGCTGAATAGAATTCAGCTCAATTCAGTTCAGTTCAATTCAATTCAATTCAATTCAATTCAATTCAACTGAACTCGGTTCAAAAAGCCTGTGTGGGAACTGTGCCCAACGCTGCCAACAGAAGACGCCAACGTGAGTAGACAACCGTCCCTGCCCTCAAGGAAATGCTCTGTGTTTCCCCCTTAAGTACAAGACAATGAACCCTACTGGTGAGTTCTGAAGCCACAGACACCGCCTAGATAATGGTCCGGGGGCAGTGGCGGGGGGCGAGGGGGAGGGATGAGTGGTTGCCATGACTAACTACCCAGTTGCTCCCACAACTCTAAAATGAATCGTGTTGCACTCCCGTCTTTGTGTCAGGAAGAAATAGAGCCCGTTAGGAAAACCTGAGCTTGTGGAGGACCCACTGACCTTACAAGATCCTATTGCCTTGTGCTAATTGTATAACTTACAAAAAACCTTATTATCGTGTATGCAATTTCATTTGAACCTCATACCTCAAAACCCACTGAGTCAAGGAGCAGGACTATTATTTCGATTGACTGAAGAAACTGAGATATGAAGAGGGCAAAATACTCGGCTAAACCCACATAATGTTGTACATCCAACGTGGTGCTAAATGGCATTTCAGAACACATTTGATTGTTTTTCTCTCTTTTTCCCATCTTCCTCTGAGCAGTTATTGAAAAGTTTCTCAGGAGGTCAGTGTCTGTTTTTCTTATTCAAGACATAACCATTGGTTCTGGCCAAGGGCCCTTTCACACATCGTCTTAATGGGGATGTTTTTACTTGAAAGAAGCAAATATAATTTAAACAGGTTTGGATCATTATGGATTTCATTGGCTGTAAAAGAAATGTCATTCTGAGACTAAAACACAAGTTTGGTCATGATTTGCAAGGTACTACACTAGAGCAGATCACTCAGGACAGGACCCTTCGGCTCCCCCCGAGAATTCCCTCTGCGGCACTTTAAAGGTCACCTTGGGAAATTGGATTATGGAAGGTCTGGAAGATCAGAGCATATGTGTAGCTTCACATGTCTAGGGAGAGAGAGCACGTGTGTCTCCATATATCCAGATTTGGGGTGGGGGTGGGAATCCTGAGAATAAATCAGAGCAGGACATGATCACTGGGGTTGAAAAACAGTCACACTTGGGTTTTAGTTGGGGGAGCAGAAGGTTAGAGGGCATGGGGAATTTTCAGAGGCCTTGGTAGGGCTCACATAGGGCAAACTTTATGCATGGCTTGATCAGAGATCAGGTTCTGTTTCCCTGAGATTCCCTCAGCCCTTCCTTCCTTCTGGCTTTGGCTTTATCTCCAGACCTTCAGCCTTGGCCCCAAAATGATTCCAAGCCACAACCCAAGGATATGTGTCCTCACTTGGCAGTGAGATTCAGGGTGTCTTCTTCACATTTCGTTGGCCCAAATGGGATTGAGCCTACCTTTGTCCCTCAGCCAAGACTGCCCTTCCCACGCCAATCCACTTATGGAAACTCTTACCACCACCAGAAGTAAAGACTCATTCCTCTGTGTTCCCACAGCAAGTGTCTGCTCCTCAACTATAATACTCAGCACATTCTGGCCTCAAATGTCTTCCTCATTCAATCGATTGTCACTCTTGCAGTAGTGACTGGGTCTGCGGGCCTTCCCACACAGAGCCTGGTAAAGTTCCTGACACAGAGACATTCTCAATACGTACTGGTTGAATAAAAGAACGAACGAATGAACAAAATAATAAGAACCAAGGTCCAGTCTCTAGGAGGAGGCAACTTGGCTTCACTCACCGTGCTGTCGCCAACATGCCTTGAGAATTTCCATTCCCTCTTCCAGGTCACTGCAGCGAGCCCCCACCCTGGGAACATGAACACTCGAGGAGAATTTACCATTTTGTGGTGGGGCAGACAGTTCGCTACCAGTGCGCACAGGGATTCAGGGCCGTGCGGAGGGGGCCTGCCGAGAGCATCTGCAAAATCACCTGTGGGAGGACAAAGTGGACGCGGCCCCAGCTCAAGTGCATAAGCGAAAGGAAGGACAGCCGGTTTCCAGGTATGGTGGCACCTTTGTGGCTCCACCACCCCGTTTTTTCCATCAGGCTGACGGGGGTGGAATTCCTGACCAACCAGCCGTGTGACCTTGGGCAAGCTGCTTCGCCTCCTCGGGCCTCTGTTTTTGCTCATTCTAGAAAATAGACTAGATGAAGTAAGGTCTCTGTCACCTAAGGTTCCCTGTATGCTGAGCAGGGATAAATGGCCAAAGATGGAAGAGGAGGGAAGCCCTCTCCAGTGTCCCAAAGCATGCCAGATGCTCCCTCACTGGTGATAATGCTGCCCCTTCATAGCTGATCCTGAAATTCAACTTCTTCTAAGCTACCAACTCTTCCTCCCGTTCAGAAGGCGGTTTCAGACCTGGACGTGCCACCCACACATCTGACCTGAGTGTATGATGTAAACTCATTATTCGCACAGCAATCCACTGTCAGCCGGGCCCTTCTTTTGTAACCCCCACCTGCGCTTTGATAAAAAGTGCAAACGTGCCGGGAAGGGGCCTATTCAAACACACACGTGTGCATGCGTGCACGTGCACACACACGCTCTTTCACACATGCGTACAACCCACCTAGGTTGAGGTCTGCTATTTTCATTCTGAGAGCGTATTACTATTTTTACAACCAGAGCTGCTTACACGTAACCAGCCTTAAGTGTTACAGGTTTCTTAGCTCACCACCTGTCGGTTGGTAACCCGCCCGGGGAGTTTCCCTGGGTGAAATCTGAAACCGCCCCCGTAAGTGGAGTGCGGCAGGGAGAGACCCAAGAGAGAGGCAGTCCACTGTTGGTAGGTGGCAGTTGTCACAAGCAAAGGAAACCTACACATGAGGCTTGTTCTGGGCAGCAGCGAGGGAGTGGATCGCCTCACTCGCTGGTCAGATGTTACGAGTGTATGAAGACGCCTTCCCTGGGCTCAGTCACATGTACCACGCAGGTGGTTCAACACCACATCGCCTTCTCGAGGCTGTGCCCTTGGAGTAGCCTCTGGGAGCGGGAAGGGCAGGCGGAACCCATATCCCACACATGGCGGGGGTGGGGGGTAGGGGCGTCTGGGTGCCCGGGCCCAGCCCCCAGGTCAGTTGGCAGTCACATCTCTCTGATGATGTCCTTGAACACTGCCACTTCCCATACCCCGTGTCTTCCTCTTGGACTCACTGGGGATGCTGTGCTTTCTTCCCGCAGCGTGCCTCCACAGGGAGCCACACGCTGGCCAGGGTGTCTGTCGCTTCTGGTGTAAAAGGAGGACAAGGCGGGACAGTGTCCCGAGTAACCGGAACCACCCACAGGGAATGGGGACCCTGTCACAGAGAAGAGTTGTCCTGTGCATTTCCACTTCATTTGGTGTTTCAGGGGTACTTGTATGATGATGGCCAGTTTCCAAGCCACAGATGGAAACCAGGGCTCAGGAGAAAGCTTGGGGACACGGAGCTGCTAGAGCTTCACGCAGCCAGGATCCTGGGCAAATTCCCTGTCACGGGCTGGGATGGCTTACCCCCTTGCTGGTGACCCTGACGGAGGGCTGCACGCGGTGGCTCCAGACAATGGGCCAAGAATGGAGATTCACACCTCGCTCCGGTTGTCTGGGGGTCGGCTGAGGGGGGCGGGGTGGGGTGTACGTGAGACCCCTGCCCTCTGCCTCCATCCCCTCCTCTCTCCTCCAGATGACGAAGAGCCTCAAGCCAGCACTGATGCTCCCCCTGGGAGTGACACTTCCTGTCCTTCAATGACAACAAGTACTACAGGTACATCTAGAATTTCTGGGAGGGTAAAAGCTGGACCCTGAAACTGTCATGCCCGAGAGGGGGAAGGCGGGCTGCCCAGAGCGGCCCCTCCAGTGGACGGCTGAGGGATCGTGCACCCCGATCCCGCCCCTGAAATGTGTCAAACCAAGTGTCGGGATGAGGGCAGAACAGGCGGAGGCTGGTATCTCGAGGCAGAAACGTGAAATGCTGGTCTTCCACAGCCCTTCTGTCAGCCTCCGGGGTTCCCACTCACTGAAAATCCTGACGCGCTCCAGCTCATGCCGTGTGATCACCAGCACAAACTGAGCATTTCCTCCTCTCTCTTCTGCACAGATTTCCAGAAACATACGGAAGTAGCTACAACCACGGAGTCCTTCGCATTCACTATCGAGTATCAGATAGCAGGTGGGTAGGGGCTGCTATTGACAAAACGTACCCCAAACAGAGACCATGGGATACGTTGGTTGATTGGTCTGGTGGGTTGGTTGGTTGGCTTAAAATGACCCCCTCCTTACCCTGTATAGTAGTTATACGAGTAAAAGACTAATCCAGATATTAACAACATCAACTCACAGTAATCAGTTAGAGTAAGCTGGGTGTGAAGTCCCAAACCAGCCCCCAGAAGTTCCTCTTGAATGGATCCTAAATGACAAAATACTCTGTGGCCTGTGGGTGGGACAGGGGGGAGGTGAGGGAGGTAAGGGGAAGAGATGCAGTATAAGCATGGAAAGAGACACACACACACAAAGCTCCCATAAACAGTACAATTGTTTCCTGGTAGAAGAGAAAAACAGGCTTTGGGGGAGGAAAAAACACCCAAGCTCATAGAAACAGAGAGGGGACTGTGGCGAGGGTAGGGGTGACGGAAATGGAGAGACGTTGGTCAAGAAGCACAAACTTCCCGTTAGAAGATGAATGAGTTCTGGGGAACTAACGTACAGCATGGTGATTACCATGAACAATACTGTGTTGTATACTCGAAATTTGCTAAAAGGGTAAATCTTAAGTGTTCTCACCACAAAAAAGAAATGGTAATTATGAGGCCTGGTGGAGGTGGTAGTTGTTGCTACCATGATAATAATCTTGTAATATGGACTCACATCAGATCCATACTTTGTACACCTCATATGTAACAAGGTTACATGTCCATTATATACCAATAGAGTGTGGAGGAGAAAAAGAAAACTAGACCGTGTCAGGCACATCTAAGACAGATGGTTAGATGGGTAGGCAGGTAGATAGGTAGTAGGTAGGTAGATAGATAGGTGGTAGGTAAGTAGGTAGGTGGGTGGGTGCATAGATAGACAGACAGATAGGTAGGTAGGTAGGTAGGTAGATAGATATAGATAGATAGATAGATAGATAGATAGATAGATAGATAGATAGATAAGGTGAATGAAGGGATGGATGGATGGATGGATGGGTGGGTGGATGGATGGGTGGATGGATGGATAGGTGATAAGCAAGCAGGTAGGAAGGTAGGTAGGTAGACAGATAGGTAGGTAGGTAGATGGGTAGTTAGGTAGACAGGTAGTTAGGCAGGCAGGTAGGTAGGTAAATAAGTACATAGATAGGTAGGTAAGTAGATAGGTAAGTAGGAACATAGGTAGGTAAGTAGGTAGGTAGGTACGTAGATAAGCAAGCAGGTAGGTAGGCAGGTAGACAGGTGGGTAGGTAAGTAGGTACATAGGTAGGTAAATAGATAGACAGCTCCAGTACCATAGGAAAGCAGCATTTGGGAAATATGAACACTTTCAAGAGATGCTTATGTGTTTATCATTTATCCTTGTATTTCGACGTTTCTTTTACCCATGGTAGCCCTCACTCATGGTCTCCTTAACTGAGACCTCTGAACCTTTCTGAAGAGAGTGCCTGTCCATTCACCCCACCCCCAGAAAGAGCCAGGCTCCTTGAGGCAAGGTGCCATGCCCTTTCCCAGCTCCCCACTGCTCCCGCCGGATCCCTGACCCCCCAGGATTCCATATCCGCAGGAGCTGCATTCTGACAGGAGAGGCTCTCCTCTTAGGGAAACCCTTGCTCATGGGGGGACTGTCAGCCTGCTCTGCCCCCTCACCCAGCACCGTGGCTGAATTGTTTCTCTGTTGACAGTGGCCGGCTGCATCCTCCTGCTGATCAGTGTCCTCCTTCTGAGCCTGCTCACCTGGCAGCGGAGATGGTGAGTCCCGTGCAGTCACGAAACCCCTGTCCCAGCTAGCAGGTGGGATGCACAGTGTGGGCAGCGCTCATGGGCAGAGACACCCCCCCATTCTCCTACTAACCAGCAGCAGCTGGGGAGGGGGCACTAGAGAGAGAACTGGCCAGTCCACATCCCTACACAGAGCCCATCAGCAAGAACGAAAGTGCAGGAAATGGGAAGGGAAATGGGAAAGCAAAGGGCGCTGGCGTGGGTTGAGCACCTACTGTGTGACAGGCTTCCTGCTTCTCCAATGAACGTTCCCATGATCCACCATCTCGGAACCTTCGAAATAGTTACAGGCCAAGCGATCAGGGAACACGAGCAGGGTTGCTGGGCAGAGGCCAGAACCACAACCTGAATCTAGAGCCCGACCCCTTTCTGCCCCATCCCTGGGACAGGAGACCGGTGGGCACATCCACCTGAGCTCTCCTGTCCCGGCTCCCCCTACGCCGTGGCAGACACTCGCACCAGAGCCCCCTCCACCGGATGCGACCCATGTGTGCCTTAATTTTCAACTGTGGCTGCAGGTTAGAACACCCAGGAGAGATTTCGTGTTCAGATACCAGTGCTTGGTCTCCACCCAGAACCTCTAAGAGGGAGGCCCAGATATTAGTGCTTTTTGTTTTGTTTTTTTTTCCATTTGAGATAAAATTCATCATCGTAACATCTTAAAGTGCACAATTCAGCGGGTTTTAGCAATGCTGTGTCTATGCCACCAGTATCTCATTACATGTTAGAATATTTCCGTCACTCAAGGAGAAAGCTGTACCACACAATTCCCATTTCCCCCGTGCCCTGGAAACCACAAACCTACTTTCCAGCTCTGCAGATCTGCCTGAGCTACTGGCTCCATTTTAAAGCTCCTCAGATCCAATGAATACATATGCATCTAGTTTCTTTTAATGTTTATTACTTATTTTGAGAGAGGAGGAGAGAGCGCAAGCTGCAGAGGGGCCGAGGGGGAGGGAGAGAGAGAATCTCAGTCAGGCTCCACACTGTCAGTGCAGAGTCTGATGCAGGGCTCTAACCCACAACGCTGGGGTCATGACCTGAGCCAAAATCAAGATATGGATGCTTAATGGGCTGAGCCACCCCGGTGACCCTGCATCCAGTTTGGACAACTCTGTGCTGAGCCAGCGGTTCTCGAACTTGAGTGTACTTGTGAATCAGAATCTCCTGGAGGGCTTGTTAAAACATGGACTAGCACGCCCCCCCCCCCCCGAGTTTCTGATTCATCAGGTCTGAGGTGGAGCTGGAAAAGTGACATTTCTAAAAAATTCCCAGGTAATATTGATGCTGCTCTTCCAGGCTCCCCGCTTGAGAACCATTGCACTAGACAGACAGTATCGAGGATCAAGAGAGCGAATTCATTTCACACACAAACTAAAGGGCCCGTCTCTCCCTCGCTTTAGACAGTGGAGTGTAGACCTACTCTGTTACTCACCTGACTACCCAGGGCATCCCTAAAGCATTCCGCCCTCCAGTGTGTAATGTAACCAACCTTGATATAAATTCCCCAGCAACAGCCTAAGAAGACACAGATTCACTCCCCAAAATGCAGAGCGCTCTTAGATCCTATAGTTAGCCCAGGCAGAGAAAGACCATCAGATTTCTTTTGCTGTTATGCTGGTCATTAGGCCCACAATGTACTCCTGATTTTCCTCGTGTGAATTAAAAGGTGCAAATTAAGCCAAGAATCCTCTATCCAGCAAGCCTGCCATTCAGAATAGAAGGAGAGATAAAAGTCTTTCCAAATAAACAAAAATTGAAAGAATTTGTCACCACTAAACCAGCCCTACAAGAAATCCTGAAGGGGGACTCTCTGAGGGAAATGTTGTAAGGAACGCAAGGTACCAGGAACGCAAGGTATTCATCACCACAAGCATGAATCCCACAAAGGACACGATGACTTTAAACCCATATTTTTCAATAATAACACTGAATGTAAATGGGCGGAATGCCCCAATCAAAAGACATAGGGTAGCAGAATGGATTTAAAAAAAACAAAATCCATCTACTTGCTGTCTACGAGAAACTCATTTTAGACGGGAGGACACCTTCAGATTGAAAGTAAGTGGTTGGAGAAATATGTATCATGCTACTGGAAGTCAAAAGAAAGCTGGAGTAGCCATATTCATATCAAACTGGACTTTAAAGTAAAGACAGTAAGAAGGGCATTATATAATAATAAAACAGGGTTTATCCATCAGGAAGAGCTAACAATTATAAATGTCTATGCACCGAATATGGGAGCACCTAAATAAATAAAACAATCACAAACAGAAACAATCTTATGGATAAGAATGTGCTAATAGCAGGGGACTTTAGTACTCCACTTACAGCAATGGATAGATCAACCAGACAGAAAAATCACTAAAGAAACAATGGATTTGAATGACACATTGGACCAAATGGACGTGACAGATATATTTAGAACTCTACATCCTGAGGCCATGGAATTCACTTTCTTCTCAAGTGCACGTGGCACAGTCTCCAACGTAGATCACATACTGAGTCATAAAGCAGCCCTCAATAAATATAAAAGAACTGAGATCATACCATGCACACTTTCAGATCACAATGCTATGAAACTTGAAATCAATCACAGGAAGAAGTGTGGAAAACCTCCAAAAACATGGAGGCTCAAGAACACCCTACTAATGAAAGAATGGGCCAATAAGGCAATTAGAGAAGAAATTTAAAAATATATGGAAACAAATGAAAATGAAAATACAACAATCCAAAGTCTATGGGATGCTGCAAAGACAGTTCTAAGAGGAAAGTGCATTGCATTCCAGGCCTATTTCAAGAAATTAGAAAAAGCACAAATACAAAATCTAACAGTGCACCTTAAGCAACTAGAGGGAGAGCAACAAGAGCACTCCAAACCCAGTAGAAGAAGAGAAATAATAAAAATCAGGGTAGAAATAAACAATAAGAAACCAAAGAAGCAGTTGAACAGATCAATGAAACCAAGAGTTGGTTTTTTGAAAAAGTAAACAAATTGACAAACCTCTAGCCAGGCTTCTCAAAAAGAAAAGAGAAAGCACTCAAATAGACAAAATAATGAATGAAAATGGACTTATCACAACCAACTCCTCAGAAATACAAGCAGTTATCAGGGAATAGTATGAAAAGTTATATGCCAACAAATTGGACAACTTAGAAGAAATGGACAAATTTCTAAACACACAATCAACTCACTACCAAAACTCACATGGGAAGAGATAGAAAATCTGAACAGACCCATAACTAGTGGAGAAATCGAATCAGTTATCTAAAATCTCCCAACAAATAAGAGCCCTGGGCCAGATGGCTTCCCTGGGGAATTCTGCCAGACATTTAAAACAGAATTAATACCCATTCTTCTCAAGCTATTCCAAAAAAAATAGAAATCAAAGGAAAACTTCCAGACTCATTTTACAAAGCCAGCATCACTTTAATTCCCAAGCCAGAGACCCAGCAAAAAAAGAGAACTACAGCCCAATATCCTTGATGAATATGGATGCAAAAATCCTCAACAAGATCCTTGCAAATCGAATCCAACAGCACATAAAAAGTATATCCACCATGATCAAGTGGGATTCATCCCTGGGTTACAGGGCTGGTTCAATATTTGCAAATCAATCAATGTGATACATCACATCAACAAAAGAGAAAAACCATATGATCCTGTTGATAGATGCAGAAAAAGCATTTGACAAGACACAGCATCCCTTCTTAATAAATACCCTTGAGAAAGTAGGGATAGAAAGAACTTACTTAAACATCATAAAAGCCATCTATGAGAAGCCCTCAGCTAACATCATCCTCAACAGGGAAAAACTGAGAGCTTTCCCCCTGAGATCAGGAACACGACAGGGATGTCCACTCTCACCACTGTTGTTTAACATAGTGCTGGAAGTCCTAGCATCAGCCATCAGACAACAAAAGGAAATCAAAGGCATCAGAATTGGCAAAGAGGAAGTCAAACTTTCACTTTTTGCAGATGACATGATATTCTACACAGAAAACCCAACAGACTCCACCAGAAGCCTACTAGAACTGATCCATGAGTTCAGCAAAGTTGTAGGGTACAAAATCAACGTACAGAAATCAGTTGCATTTTTATACACCAATAGTGAAGAACAGAAAGAGAAATCAAGAAATTGATCCCATTCACAATTGCACGTAGAAACATAAAATACCTAGGAATAAACCTAATCAAAGATGTAAGAGATCTGTATGATGAAAACTATAGAAAACTTATGAAGGAGATTGAAGAAGGCACAAAGAAATGGAAAAACATTCCATGCTCATGAGTCGGAAGAATAAATATAGTTAAAATGTCATTACTACCCAAGGTAATCTACACATTCAATGCAATCCCAGTCAAAATTGCACCAGCATACTTCTCAAAACTAGAACTATCCTAAAATTTGTATGGAATCACAAAAGACCCCAAATAGCCAAAGTAATATTGAAGAAGAAAACCAAAACGGGAGGCATCACAATCCCTGACTTTAGCCTCTACTACAAAGCTGTCATCATCAAGACAGTATTGTATTGGCACAAAAACAGACACATAGACCAATGGAATAGAATAGAGAACTCAGAATTGGACCCACAAATGCATGGCCAACTAATCTCTGACAAAGCAGGAAAGAGTATCCAATGGAAAAAAGACAGCCTTTTTAACAGATGGTGTTGGGAGAACTGGACAGCAACATGCAGAAGAATGAAACTAGATCACTTTCTCACACCATACACCAAAATAAACTCAAAATGGATATAGGACCTGAATCTGAGACAGGAAACCATCAAAACCCTGGAAGAGAAAGCAGGAAAAAACCTCCTTGACCTCAACCACAGCAACTTCTTACTTGACACATCCCCAAAAGCAAAAGAATCAAGAGCAATAATGAACTACTGGGACCTCATCAAGATAAAAAGCTTCTGCACAGCAAAGGAAACAATCCATAAAACTAATAGGCAACCCACGGAATGGGAAAAGATAGTTGCAAATGACCTATCAGATAAAGGGCTAGTATCCAAAATCTATAAGGAACTCACCAAACTCCACACCCGAAAACAAATAATCCAGTGAAGAATGGGCAGAAGACATGAACAGAAGAGGACATCCAGATGGCCAACAGACACATAAAACGATGCCCAGCATCATGTCACTCCTCATCAGGGAAATACAAATCAAAACCACACTGAGATACCGCCTCACGCCAGTCAGAGTGGCTAAAATGAGCAAATCAGAGAACTCTAGATGCTGGCGAGGATGTGGAGAAACGGGCACCCTCCTCCACTGTTGGTGGGAATGTAAACTGGTACAGGCCCTCTGGAAAACAGTGTGGAGGTTCCTCAGGAAACTAACACTAGAACTCCCCTAGGACCCAGCGATAGCACTGCTAGGAATTTACCCAAGGGATACAGGAGTGCTGACGCATAGGGGCGCATGTACCCCAGTGTTCACAGCAGCACTCTCCACAATAGCCAAAACATGGAAAGAGCCTAAGTGTCCATCAACGGACGAATGGATCAAGAAGATGTGGTTTATCTATACCATGGAATACTCCATGGCAATGAGAAACAATGCAATCTGGCCACGTGTAGCAAAGTGGATGGACCTTGAGGGTGTTATGCTGAGCGAAATAAGTCAGGCAGAGAAGGACAGATAACATATGTTTGCACGTATAGGTGGATTATGAGGAAGGTAACGGAGGACCGTGAGGGAGAAGAAGGGGAAAAATAGTTGGGGAGAGGGAGAGAGGCAAACCAAGAGAGACTCTGAATGCTGAGAACAAACTGAGGGGTCGGGGGAGGGGGGATGGGCATGGAGGAGGGCACTTGTGAGGATGAGCACTGGGTGTTATATGGAAACCAACTTGACAATAAACTATTTCAGAAAAATAAATAAAATAAAAAATAAAAAGTGCAGATTACTGCGATACAGAGGGCAAGTCCCTGAGGGTTATGATATTGGGAGTTGGTCACGTACCTGGCCATCTAGCAACTTCTCTATGGTATTAGCTGATTCCAAAGGCATTATTTTAGGCTTATGTGGGATGAACATGTCAAGTAGCCAGTACATTGTAGGAACTCGACACGCATTAGATCCTCCCCTCCCTGTGCCGCCAAGACTTAATAACCTAACAAGGAACTTGAGGATTTACGACCTTGAGGGTTAAAAGCCTTCAGACACAAAGGGATGACGCTATTTGGGAATGGTAAAGGTTTGGAATTTATGTTGTAAAATAACAAACGGCCTGAATCTGTATGAATTCCCACAAGCTCTCCCAGAATTAGTTTTCCAGGAGACCCAAACTCATTTCTCAAACGGAGCCTCCTGCCAGAGTTAGAGCAAAAAAAAAAAAAAAAATCATTCCTAGAATCTATGTCATCCGAGGGCGCCCTCTTGTGGCCACATGAAATCCTACATTTGACTATTTTTTTGGATTAATTACTAGGAGCCAGAGATGAGCAAGATCTGGCTTACATTGGCTCCTGACAGCCAGAAGCTACATTTTCAGGAGTTCTGTGAACTATCTTTAAATGTAGCCATTATCAGAAAGTGAGTACATAAACATAACTGAGTCAGTTATATTAAAAACAAAGTTAATAAGGACTCATAGTTAACCACTTTCTAATTATTTTACTAGTTTATTTGTTCTCAGAGTTATTTGTGCCTATTGGGACTGTTTTGAGGAATTACGCAATATGATGGTGTGTTACTGCACCTCTCTTCCCAACTGTGTGTTCAGTTATGTCACATTGGTAGCTCGAAGCTGGGCGTGGTGGGAATATTTACACCATGGAGATAGGCCAGTTTTTCAGAGAGCTGGGTATTAATCATTCGCCAGCACACCGTTCCCACATCCATGCCCCATGGGAGCTCTGAACAAGGTAGGAAGTAATCCGATGTTCCTGTGGACTCAGTAAAGGCTGGGGAAAGTCTAGGACCATACTGTCCTATATAGTAGCCACTAGCCGTATGTGCATACTTAAGTTTAGACATAAATAAAATAAATAAGATTAAGAATTCAGTTCATCAGTTACACTAGCCACATGTCAAATGTTTGTGTTTAATGTGGCTACTTTATTGGATCACATGGATGCAAAACATTTCCATCCTCAGATGGAAATATATTATAGTGCAATGCTGGCTAGAAACTAGGAGTTTTCAATTCATGAAAATCACTTTGCACAGTTTGTTACTATTATTATCCCTTTTCTGCACCTACTGTCCTCTGTATAGTTCAAAAAATATTATAGAATATCTCTTATGTAGATATTGGTCAAAGGGCACAAACTTGCAGTGAGAAGATGAGTAAGTTCTGGGGATCAAACGCACAGCATGGAGATTACAGTCAAGAATCCTGTATTATATGCTTCAAAGTTGCTTAGAGGCTAGATCTTAAATGTTCTCACTGCAGAAAAGAAATGCTAATTATGGGACATGAGAGAGGTGTTTCTAAGGCTATGGTGGTCATCATGTTGCAATATATAAATACAATATATTAAAAATATACAAACATGTCTGTGCACTGTAAACTTACACAATGTTACATGTCAATCCTATCTAAATTAAAAAAAAAAAAACTATTATGGGAATATCTTCTGTGTGCCAAGCACTTCCTAGGGGCCCGAGGGTGAATACAAATAGGAGCTCACAGACTAGTAGAGAAGAGGGGGGAAATCCAGATTTCAAATACAATTTCTTAAAGATGTTATGGGAACAAAGACAAAGGACACTTAACCCTACATGGGGGTCCCAGCAAGGCTTTTAGAGTTGATGGTGCCTACGGCCAGATTAAGAAGGGCAGGAGATGGCTGCCAGGCAGGGGGAGCCAGGAGACAGGTAAGGTGAGGTGAAAGGCGACGACCGTGTCCGGGAGAAGTAGAGCAGTTCTGAACACCAGGACGTGGGGTGTGTGGGCAGTCGTGACCGTGGTGCTGTACAGATGGACAGTGACCACGTCATGGATGGCCAGGTCAGCCTGAGGGGCTCGGACCCTCTCCTGGGGCCAACAGAGAGACACAGTAGCTTTACCTATGGGACAAATGGGAGCATTGGCCTCTGTCTACAACAAAGGCTAGATTTAAGGGACCAAGTAATCATGGTGGCAGCTTGATTATGTTATGATGGGACAAGTCCACACGAGAGACAAGGTGAACATGAGCTAGGTCAGTGGGCACACATTAAAAAGAGAAAAAGAATCAAGAAATAATACATAAGGGGGTCAAATTAGCAGGATTTGCCAGCTGGTTGGAAATGAGGGTTAAGGAAGACAGATGGTCCAAGGTTGACCCCAGGTTTTCGAGTGTGACAGGGAGACCCCTTGGCCACTATACACCAGGACGAAATGCAAAGAGCAGGACACGCTTGGGGGTCAGCAGGAAAGCAGAGCCCATCCTGGAGTGCATTCCCTGAGACCCGCTCGGCCTCCACACCCGTTACTGGAAGGAAGGAAGTGGAAGAACTCCCTCAGTCTCTTTCTCAGACCCGCTCAGCAAACAATGATTGAACTATCCTGCTGTAAGGACCTCCGGGCAGTGTCAGGGCTCCCAGAGGCTTGGAGAGGCCTTGGGCCGGATTTCAGGATCTGAGATGTGGGATGGGAAAGCGATCTGGAGCAGGGATTTTAAGTTAGCAGGTCGACGGGGGCTCCTGTTGAATGCTCGTACACGGCGGTGCAGGGAGGGGGTCACATTTTTCTTGGCACAGTATTGCACCTGTGACTGTGACTTCGCTGTCTCGCACAGGAGGAAGAGTAGAAGAACAATCTAGAATGCCAGGAGTGGGAAGAAGCCAAGAACAGCTCACAGAAGTCGTGGAGCACAAGCAAAATCCAAGTCGAACACACCCAGGTCGCGTCTCCCGTGAGAGCTCTTGGGTTTCGGAAAGCTCGGAAGTCACGTGCCAGAGCCCCAGGCACCTCATTACCAAAGCCAGCACTCTAGTGTCAATGACTGAACGCGACCTGCTTCTGAGCAGCAACTCCAAGGCCACGGAGGAGTAGGGGGGGCCAACCAGAACTCCAGGTCTTATCTTCACGTCTACGTGATCATTAAAGCTGGGACAGCAGGGGACTCTCTCCACACCACATACAGGACAAAGAAAAGCAGCTTCATGTTCATTTCATCCTAACCTCCCAGTTTAGAAATCCCAAGGAAAGCCCTAGCATCGTATGTAAATAGACACACGCGCGCGCGCGCGCACACACACACACACACACACACACACACACACACTCCCTACCCTGTGTAATTGGACTCTCCACTGATTGATGCAGATCCCTTTCCCAGCTTCTGGCTGACTAGCCCATTCTCCTGGTCACATTCCATCATGAACACCTTCCAAGAACTCTGAATTGGTAACTCTGAATCCCTTTGTCCTTTGCTCCGTTCTCTAAACTAGCCTCTTTCCATGGAACTTCAGTTGTGAATTTCTAAACAGAAGCCGTGGCCGAGTAACCTTTGGGTAACACCGGCAGAGAGCAACCAACCCTTGGGGTCACAGAGCTTCAGTATTTAAAGGGATTTTACTGGAGGTGAGCTGGGAAAAGAAGGGTAAACTAAGTGCCAAGTAATGAACTGTATCCGTGAAAAAGCTCTACGTGTATATTACTAATACGCCCCTTGAAGAGTTAGTTTCTGTGGGATTGCTATAAATGAGTCTCTGAGTTTGGCCCGCATGAATGTGATGTGTAGAGACAGGCGCATACTGTGTGGATGTCTACGTTTCCAAATCAGCACCATAAAAATGCTGACAAGGGATTAAAACGTTCGACGTTTATGGACGGAAGGAAAGAAGAGGGAAGTGGGGATCAGATAGGGAGATGACACTGACGGCATGTAACGCGGGAAAGGCCACCCCAGTCATCCTCAGAGTGTTAGCAAGACGGTCAGCAAATCGGAATCACCTGGAGGTCATTGGACCCCAAGGCCCATGTCAGGGGTTCTGAGCCGCAGTTCTGGGGCCGGGCCCGGGTATTCCTCTTCTGACAAGTTCCAGGTGATGCTGCCGCTGCTGGTCCGGGGACCTCACTTTGAGAACCACTGGGTTATACGTCTCCATGCCCACCCGCTCTCAAAAATCACGCGTGTAAGGAGATTCGTGAAAGGTTAAAAGCAGCCAGCTTCCGTTTCTGAAAGGCCATAAAAAGTGTTATTTAAAAACATGGGCAGGTGGCAGCAGGTCCATTCCCGGATTAAAGAACCATTTTCTGCCCTTTCTGTGACTAACCAAGTACAATCCAGATTCCGGTGTTCACATCCCCCTGTCTCCCAAGTACATGTTTTCTGAATTGAGAGAAATCTCAGACCAGAAAAAAAAAAAAAAAAAAACAAAGAAAAAAATGTTTAGTGTTATTTATCCTCAGTAAAATTGAATTATCATTATTCATTTGGGGGAGGGAGATCTAGGAGATCAAATTTTTTTTAATAATAATTAAGATGTTATTTACCTTTTTCACCCTCATTCTCTGAGAAGTGCATGGTGGAGTTTTCCAGAAACTACATGATACGTGATGATGTCATTGGTCTGATGTTAACATATAATGAACTTATTACTATTGTTTATAAGAGAACTAATAAATAATATTTTTTAAATTTCTCGGTTTTAGTGTCTAAATATGGTATCACGAGCTCTAACTACACAGATTAAAGTTTGGGGGATCCTCAATAGTTTTTAATAACATACAGAGGTCCTGACAAATAATTAACCAGTGTGTCATCATTGGTCATTCCAGAAATGCAAATCAAAACCACACTGAGATACCACATCAGACCCATTAAGATGAGTCTTAATAAGACTTGTTGCTTAATAAGCAAGAAGGAAAATAACAAATGTCAACAAGGATGTGGAGAAGTAGGAATCCTTGTATTTGGCTGGCAGAAATGTAAAATGATGTGGCCACTGTGGGAAAAGGTCGGTAGTTCCTCAAAACTTTTAACATACTGTGACCACATTGACCCAGCAATTCCACTCCTTGGCGGATACCCACAAGAGATGAAAACCTATGTCCACACAGAAATTTGTACATGACTATAATAGCATGGTAGCCAAATAGCCAAGAGTTGAAAACAACCCAAGTGCCCATGAATAATAAATGGATAAGCAAACTGTGGTCTATCCATACACTGCAGTGTTACTCAGCCATAAAAAGGAATAGAGTATTGATCCATGGTACAGTGTCAGTGAGCTTCAGAAACATTGCAGTAAGAGGCACCGAGGTGGCTGAGTCAGTTGAGCATCTGACTCTTGATTTCAGCTCAGGTCATGATCTCACGGTTCGTGGGATCGAGTCCTGCATTGGGCTTTGCACTGACATTGCAGAGCCTGCTTGGGATTCTGTCTCTCTCCCTCTCTCTCAGCCCCTCCCCCACTCACGCTGTCTCTCTGTCTCTCAAAATAAATACAATAAACTTTAACAACAAAAAAAGAGACATTATGCTACATGAAAGAAGCCTGACACAAAAGGTCACGTGTTGTATGGCTCTTTTATGTAATATATCCAGACAAAGTAGGCAGATCAGGGCAACAGAAAGTACCAGGGTGACAGAAAGTACCAAGTCAGGGGTTAACTGTGGTTGGAGAGAGTGATTAGCTAATGTTGTACTCAACAATCTGTGAATACGCTAAAAGACACTCATGTGTACACTTTCTATGGTTACGTGAATTTCATTCACCTCAATTAAAAGAAACAAACAAACAAAAAAAGAGATCCTGAGACCAGAATATTTTCTTCTAGCTGGTTCCATTCATGATTCTCAAAGAACAGTCCTCAGCTCACAATAGAGGGCCAGGGTCTACCTGAAGTTTTTATGGTGATTTACTTTCTAATATTCTATTAAGTGAGTTATTTATGAGACCCTGAATTTTTTAAACTAAAATTAATACATGACTGAAGTTTCCTGAAGACTCTTAGTATTCTACTGAGAATGTGAAATGTGCATTGCTCCCAGGAAGAATGCTGGGAGCATTCTAAGTTACTAGAACCATCTTGGGTTGGTTCCAGTGTTTGACTGGCATTCTCTCAGCTAAATTATAAATTGCTGTCAGTACTTTTCATATAGGAGCTGTGTTTGATGGCCCCCAAAATGGGCCCATCATAATCAATATAACTTGTAGGTTTTCTGACTTATTGATCATGTGCAGTGATAGTTCTTTGCATCAGTTGTGTTGTTGGCTTATAATTTTCAAATAACTTGGCTTTAAAGCATGAAAGTGGTCTCTTTTTGGGGGAGGGGGGAAGAGCACAGGTGGGGGAGGGTCAGGGAGAGAGAGAGGGAGAGAGAATCCCAAGCAGTCAGCACAGAGCCCAGTGCAAGGCTCCAACTCCCAAACCATGAGATCACAACCTGAGCTGAAATCAAGAGTCGGACATTTAACCAACTGACGCACCCAGGCATCCCTAAAGCACAGATGTATTCTTATTTAAAAGTAATCGTTGGGGCACCTGGGTGGCTTAGTCGGTTAATGTCCGACTTCGGCTCAGGTTATGATCTCACAGTTCGTGGGTTCGAGCCCTGCATCAGGCTCTGTGCTGACAGCTAGCTAGAGCCTGGAGCCTGCTTCAGATTCTGTATCTCCATGTCGCTCTGATCCTTCCCTGCTCATGCAGTCTCTATCTCTTCCTCAAAAATAAATTAAAAAAAAAAAAAAAGAAAGAAAGTAAGCATTATGGTTTCCAGTTTCCAGTCATAGACAGACATAGAAGGAACTTGGAAGCCATTGCTCCCCTCCTACCAAAAAGAAAAGCCCTGAACAAGGTGAAAATCAACAACTCTTCTTAGATTCATCAGACAGCTGACATCTGGCCAAACCTCTGCTCCCAAATTGAGGAGCGAGGCAGGCATAGTGAATCAGTGTACCTGGAACAAAAGGCCAAGAGCAGATATTGGGCTGGTGCCAAATTGAAGGACCAGTGTGGACAAGTTCCCGGAGCCCTGCCCTTTCATGAGTTTTACCTCCAGAAGGCATCCGAGGTTCTCAGGTTGAAGATCAACCTGAGATCAACCTGCTTTTGGCAGGGGAGGAAGAAAGGAGCCATTTTGAAATACCTCACCAAGGCCTGTCCTCAAGAGAAAATATTCTCCCAACTATCTTGGGTTTTACTAGAACCTAACCCACCAGAGGGAACAGAAATACCCAACTCTGACCTGCTCTAGCCTTCCACATGGGAAAGGAAATTATGCAGCTCCAGCCCATCTGAGGGGGGCAAGAAAAGAAGCCAAGGGCTTCTCTGGCTTCAGTGGTTCAAATGAGGCCTCACATCTGCACCGTGGCCACAGGACATAAGATGACACTTATTCCCTTGGCCTGAGCCATGTACCCTACCTCTAGAACCAAGAGTAGAATCAATGTCCCTCATGAGTTGCTTGGAGTGGACAGAATAGTAAGACCTGAAAGAAAAGTTGGTCATTACCAAGAGAAGGGAGAATGGATGTTGACCCTTTTCTTTGTGGCTTTGCTCATAGCAAGTGTTATTCTACTGAAGAGTGTCCTAAATGTTCACATCAGCCATACCATTAGAAAGCTTCGGAAGAGCCAGGTCAAAGCTTGGTCATGGGAACGGGAAAGAAAATGTGGACAACAGATTTGTGGCACTGGCACAAAGGAGTTTTTAAGGATGTAGAAAGGATTTTTGGGCACGGCAAAGGAAACAATCCATAAAACTAATAGGCAACCAACGGAATGGGAAAAGATAGTTACAAATGACATATCAGATAAAGGGTTAATATCCAGAATCTATAAGGAACTCACCAAACTCCACACCCGAAAAACAAAAAACCCAGTGAAGAAACGGGCAGAAGACATGAACAGACAC